CAACTAAACATTGTTGAGAAGTAAAAGCCATAATGGAGCTCCTTGTTCTATGGTGATTACTGAACAAGTGCCATGTATGTCCCCAGGACTGAGAATTGGATTTACCAATTGCATCCTAATACATGGGGAGAAATATTTTGTGCAATATTAGTTTGGCATTTCACTTTTTCCAAGAGTACAGAGCAGAAAGAGAAACACGTTATGACTCTCAGAGATTATCTGTGAACTGTGTTTAAGTTGCATTCACATGTATAGTTAATATCTATGAGTAGGTAAACAAAAATATTCTTACACCGTATGCATTCCTAAACTATTTGCTGTGCTTCTCATTTGATCTGCAAAACACCTAAAACCCCTTAGGTTCTGAAACTAATGATGTTATAGTGTGTGATGGTGGTGCAAATTAAATCAGAAGACAAATTTCTGACCATGTAGAAGAATGAATATCAAAGATGACTTAGAGAGGCAATAGGAGCTGCAGAGCAGATTGAAAAGGACAATTTTGCCTGGATAAGTCTTAGCTAAAGATGGCAAATCAGTGCCTTCCAATATAAATTTCTTTAGATGCCCAGCATCAACTGAGTCTCTCAGACAAGTGTATTTTATTCCTAATCTTTCAATAACTGTTCTCATGATACACGTAAATCAAACTCATTTTTCTAGCTGTTTTTCATGCAAAATAAACACAGTTGGAAAAAAATCCTATATCTGATGCTCTTTTTGCACATAGCAGAATCTGTTAGCTCCTCTTCACTTTTACTGCTTCAAATGTTTCACAGCAAAAGGAAACCTGCAAACTCCAATTCCAACGAGCCTATGTTTGTTCTGTTCTTTTAAATACATTTTTTTCTCATTACATATCATTCATGAATGAAACAGTGCTTTTTACTTAAAGAGGAAGAATTTAAAGGAACAGTAAGACTACAAAGCAGATAAATTAACATTTTATAGATAGTTTTTCTCAGACATAGGTGTACAACAATATCAGCAGAACATGCTGATAAAATGCTTTGATTTTTCATCATATTCCAAATCTAGGCCCAAGACTTGCCTAAACGTTGCACAACTGAGAGACTCAGTACTACCCATTTTAGCAGAACAGAAATAAAACCTGGAACAGAAATAAAACCTCTTTCCTCCAGCCACGGTGCCCACAATACACAAAAGAAGATTAAACAGAACATCAGAGGAAAACAGTGCCACTAGGGCACAGGCTGGTGATGTTTACTGCAATAATGCATTTTGGAAAGCTCCATGGTGAAATGGTGGCAGTAACAGAGCTAGACATTATGCACAACTGAATTGAGCAATTTTCTGGCTTGCTTGCTTCAGAAATGGTTCCTAGTGCACAAAAGGAAAACCTTACTAATGAATTCTATGCAACAATGAGGAGAAATCAATTGGAAAATTATAATATCTCAAAAAAAAAAAAAAAAAAAAGCAGAACAGGCACATTAAAAAGAAAACTTTGTATTGTCAGAGCCACAGGTTTTTTAGGGAAACATCACAGTGTACTGGGAAGAGACAATCAGGCTTTTGCAGCAAGATCATACTTGGCCCTGTGCCTTGATAGAACAGTTTACCGGCAGTCATTCATCAGGATTTACATCAAGTAAAATCCAAGTACCCTGGGTTTATAGACCTTGAAGGCCGTTTCTGTTCCCAGTTTTTGATATCATCAAAAAATGAAACTTAACACTGAAAAGAGCAAAGAGATGGACAGGAACCACAGCGATAAACAGGGTCTTACACACTGTGTTTGCCCATCTCTGAAAGACAAAAGAAAATTGGGAATAATCTTCCACCTTTTCAGCTTCCTCTTTTCTTCTTTTCCTCCATTTGTGCCAATACATACTCATTCTTAGTTGATTAAATGAGGACGATATAGTGCCTTTTCCTCTCATAATTTCTATGATTGACTTCATGGTCAACTGTAACTGCCCTATGTTTCAAATTGTTTTATAGCACACAGAATTGCAACGTGTCACTTCTAGGTTATCTCCTTAGGTAATACATCAATGAGTGCACTGTACTACATAAATACTCAAAAGAATGACAACTCAACCTTGACTTTTCTTAAGCACCTCTTTCTGCTGGAAAAATTAGCACATTTTTATTCCACTTCTAAATTAATAAGGAAACCACATTGCATGTCTCCCTCTAAACATGCACATATCTGTATATTACATTCCCTTCCATGGAATTCAGACTGATACAGCCTTATCTGAGTGGAAAGTGATCCTTAAAATTTTTAGGTAATTTTTACTATTTATGAAATAGCAGCTGCAAACCGGAATGATTAAGAACATGTGCTTCACTGTCTGTCATTCCACAGACTTTTTACTTTAAATTAAATCAAACACTATTGACCATCTAAAATAATCCTTTTCTTGTCTAATTTAACTATTTGCTTTAGAAATTTCTGCTTTCATGTTATGATGATTTAATACATAACCATGGATTTCCAGACAGAAGCAGCAATAAGACAATTTTATGCTCATTTTACTGGTTTTAAAGATGAGTGTTTTGGTTTAAACAAACAGTCACCTTGAGGAAAAGATGTGATTATTTTCTGGGGGCAACTTGTGATTTTTCATTTAAAAACAAACAAAAAACCCCAAAACAACAAACAAACAAGTTAAAATATTTAATATAAGAATCAAATTGCCTGAAATTATGATACAAAACAGTGGATTCTTTTCTTTGGGTCACACTGTAAATAGTTATTTGGGGCTTTGTTTCTCTGAAGAAAACCTGTAATATTACATTTGGGTTAAACCACAACTTAATTAATTTTGCATTAATTTTTGAGTGCAGCTGTTGAAATAAAAAGTATTTGTACAACCTGAGAAGGTTTATTAGCATTAAGAGACCTCAAGGTAGACTCTTAAAACACTGCTGGCCTTGCCCTTTGATACAACACAGAAAACTGACCAATGAGAATTTGGATGTCAGAAAAAAAGATCACTAACTTCATTTTGAAAATGTTGTTAACACAATTCAATATGCCAAACTGCCAACCTGCACTTTTACTGTGATTTATAGCAGCTCTGTGGCATGAATGATGCAGTGTTCAAACAGATTAAACTACATTTATTGCTGGGAAGCTTCACTGTTTCAGTGCTTAAGCACTGTACAGGTGAAATGTTCAGTATACATACAGGTTTGTCTGACTATACTTTGAAAAACTAAAAAAAAATCAGGTGTCAAATCTGTCTATTTAGTACCTATGATATTCCAATGATAAATAATTCTAGGAATAATTTCACACACAGAGTTGGTACTGCAAGACTTGTTAATTAAATATCAAGGCATTAATTAGATTCTCAAGTGTTGAAGTAATACTTATCATTCCTGGCAGGTATAAAAACACAGGAAGAAGCAAAGTGCACCTGTAAATTGACAGAGCGCTAAAATATTGTGGTAAAACTTGGAGTTAAGTCTTCTACCTGCACAGTGTGTGCAAGGCACAGGTGTAAAGCAGAATAATAGTGTAAGTTATGTCCAAAGGACTAGAAAGACATCTTTTTTAATGATAAACTGTGATTTGACAACATATTTTTATATCATCATTTCAAAGATGTATTTTAATCCAGGAATGTCTATTCACAGAGTCACCACCTCTTCCTCGACTAACCAACATCTCATATACAGTCCCATATATACCTACACATGACTAGATATAGACATATAGACGTACACACACCAAAGGTGAAAGTGATAAGTTTTTATAAGTTTCCCTTACAATAATGATCCTCCTTCTGCAATTATTTACAGTTAACTGATGAAAAGTGCTTTAGAAGACACTAATATTAGCAATGTTGCTTAATGTGTAGGCAGATGCCCCTTTTGTATCTTTAAGTGATGACTGGTATATGTATGAGCAATAACAAGCATTCCCATAAGCAAAATGTTGTACAATAAAGTCCCAACCAGCAGTAAAGCTTGTAAACTGGTGCTAGATATTAAATGAAAAATTGCTTTATGCTTCCCACAGGAAGATGTGATATGACTTAAGGATGGCATCATGACATGTAAAATGATCTAATTATGTTAGCTGAAATTCTATAAAAATATCAACCAAAGACACATTGATATGGGAAATTTCAGCTCTTATTTTTTTTCCTGGCAAAACTATGAACAGTAGGAAATGGCACCTTGTACAGTGAAATGAAAGGAACTGCCGCTAGCAATCCCTGTTATTCCTCAGTATTCACAATACAAACAAACAAGAGACCTGCCGGCATAGATCTATCATAACCGGTTTCATTCTACCTATAAAAAGAAAATGTGTTGTGTTGAAAATGGTAACTGCACTAGTATTTAACATAGCCAAAGAGGTAAAGACAGGAGTGAAAATTTTGCATGACTCTCAACTTCTCTCCTTGCACTTCAAGCACAAAACAGAGCTCCTATTCGTTTCTGCTTAATGGAAACCATGGAAGCTAAGAGATGTTATGATGCCTGCAGAACAGGACAATAATGATCACCAGCCAAAGAAATTGTTAAGTCTCTGAAATTAATAAGATACTGCAGTTGCTAATTTCCTACAACCTAGTGCTTAGTTAAATCACATCTAATAAATGTGAACAAGGAAAACAGAACAGAATAAGATATCAGGGTCAATAAGGGCCAAAATGAGGTGGCCAAATAAACACCATGTAACTTTATTCCATGATTAGGTGAACAAAAAAAGTAGTATCTTAGCCAGATGTAAGCAAATAAATTTTTTTGAAGAAACAATACAAATAAAGTTAAAGAAGATTTTTCATGGTTTTTTTCCTTAGGAAAGGAGCATGTTCTTTCATAATGGAAAAGAAAAATAAATCTTAAAAAAAAGGAAAATTAATAGAAATTTTGGAAAGTCCGATTATGAAGGCATATTAATCTTTGCTATGACTCTCATAATCAAATGCTATTATATTAACAGATGTTGAATTACTAGTCCAAATAGAAAAGGCTCATATGTATATTAAAATAACATTATTACTTTCTTTCAGGTGGTAAAAATGATGATTGTAGTTGTGCTGACATTTGCCATCTGCTGGCTGCCCTACCACATTTATTTCATACTTACTGCGATCTATCAACAATTAAATCGGTGGAAATACATTCAGCAAATCTATCTGGCCAGCTTTTGGCTTGCCATGAGCTCTACAATGTACAACCCCATTATCTACTGCTGTCTTAATAAGAGGTAAGAGCTGCTTATGAATTCCTAAGTTTTGTATGCATGTTTGTACGCATGACCTCAACGAGAATGTAAGTTGTTTAAATAGGATAAAAGGCAAAAACATTTCACTTGAATAGTTTTCAGTTACTGGTAAAGAAAGCAAAACTTCTTTAGGTTTGTACTTGAAACTAATCTCAAAAAAAAACAAGTGTGCACTTCCAGTAAATATTTTGATCTACTTAAAATTTCAGTGCAAAATTCAGTATCCAGAAACCAGCCCTTTCCTATTCCATATGCAAAGTCTAAATCTAAAGCAGTTTAATATTTTTTGGCTTGTAAAACATTAAAATGAACTGAAGGCAGCTATTGGTGATATACAGTGCAATCTATACGTTCACTAATACTAGCCAAAAATTTGTTTTGCAACACTGCAAAGATGCAATATAAAATGTGATTTACTGTGTAGTTTATACTTCCCCATTAGATTCTTATTGCACGCTAAGGTCCATAACACGCTAACAAATATTTCTATTCTCATTACTCAACAGTAAATTAGAGTACTGTTTGATAGCAATGCATTATGTCGTGAACTTCAAAGGCACTGCACTTGTTGAGTTTGGTGAGATTTTAAAGGTATTTGCTAGTTTGAGACTACTGAATTGCAAAATGAAGTCATGTTTTTCACTTTAGCTTGTAGGACCAGGATACAAACAAATATCATCCCAGCCATCCCATTTCTTGGTATTTCTTCTAGAATTGCTTCATAAGGATAGCCAAGAACAATTAAGTAGTTCAAAAGCTCAGTCTGAATCAGTACTGAAGAAGTATTCTTAAATATTATTTACAAGCTATTTTCAGTGAGCAGCCACTGTCAAGTTTAATTGCTGACAAGCTTTATATCAATTTTGTTAAATATTTAGAAAACCCCAGTAACAATCATGGAATACCCATCTAAAGTAGTCTAATAAAAATGTTTTATATGAACATTAGCCATTACCTCATTCTCATGTAAGCATCTCTGTTAGAGAGGGAAACATAGAAGGTGTATTGGAATCTGGAAGCTAGGATTGTATTTTAAAGAAAAGAATGCCACAAAGTTTCTTGCTTGGACAAGATGAAAATAGAAGTGCAGATTTCATCACAGGTCAAATCAAAACAATTTCTGTGAAGACAGTGCTATGAAAGCTGGTGTTCATTTACTTAGACCTGGGCAAAGGATGGGAAATAAGAGTATGAGGAAAATTCCAATGCTAAAATGCAGGGAAAGTATAGAAAATCAGAAATAGAAATGAGCCATTACCACTGTTTTTTTCACCCTACTTCGACTTCAGTCAAGTAAACTCTCACTAACTTCACCACAAACAGGATTAGGGGTAAAACAATTAGCTGAGTTGGTGTCCTGTCAGCACAGTTTACATTTTCAGATGAAGACCTGTGCTGGCTCTTGCAAGTACAAGTTTTTACCAAGATCCTTCCTCCCAGGTTCCGAGCTGGCTTCAAGCAAGCTTTCCGCTGGTGCCCCTTTGTTGAGGTGTCCAGCTATGATGAGCTAGAGCTCAAGGCAGCCAGGTTTCACCCCACGCAGCAGAGCAGCCTATACGCTATGTCCAGAATGGAGTCCAGCATGACAGTGGTGCTTGACACTAATGATGGAGACAACACCCACGCCAGCCATAAGAAAAGAGCAGCGCAGAGGGACACAAATTTCAATGGCTGCTCACAGAGGAATTCTAAGACTGTCTCCACAGCCTCAAGTCTCATCAGTTCACTGCACACACCAGTAGATGATTATTCCTAAGCATTTCATGGTGACTGTAGCTGGAATGGCAATACTGGATAATGCTCTCCTACTTTGGGACTAGATATTCATACCACAGGAAAGCAAACATAATCCTGCAAATGAAGCCCAGCCATAAATATTTCAGGCATCACTCACTTTTCTGCTTTGGAGAGAAAGAGGTACTTGAAGTCACATGTATGCATCAGTCTGAAAGCACAGTCACACCTTACACATGTCAATATTCGTAGGGACCATGTGAAATAAGCCAGCAGCACAAAAAACATTGTTTCAGCTGCATTTGACCTGTGACATTTATGTTTCACTTACTGAAATGTAACAGGTTCCTTTACTTAGTGAAGTTGAAATGTACCACTCTTTCTATTATGAGTGTATTAATTTACAATAACTAAATAGCATAAGATCTGATAAAACAATTTCTTTATAATGAAGATTTAATGAGCCCCCACTTGTTCAACTGTTTTCCAACTTAAACCTACTCCCAGGCAAATAGAAAAAATTAAGTTCACATGAATGAATTTCAGCTCTGCAACAGTACAATTTCTTAAACATATGAAAAATGCTTTTTTTTAAAAGGAGAAATTCTCTAAGAAAATAAGTTAAATTCTACAGAAGTTTCTTTATTAATGAACTTTAGAGTCCAATGGAATGTGTACTTCCAAGAGGGCATATTGCTTAGATGAATATCCTATAGCTTTTTATCTTAGTGCTAAGGCTAAGATCTTCCTCTAGTGATCCTAACAAGAGCTTTGTGATTGACTTTAGAGAGGTCAAAAGATTTTAAACCAGAGATTCACATAAACAAAAATATACCACTGAAACAATGAACTCTTATCAAGAGAAAAAACAGTAGAATGTTTCACTATGAAACACCTTCACCGGAAAAAAAAAATATTTGTACTATTTTATCAATTTTTCCACAGCTAGGTGCATCTAAAAATACTCCTCAGCTGCCTCTGAAAATGTTAGGCACTGCTACTCAGACACTTTCCCAGCCAATTCAGTCAAGATACACAAAAGGCATTATTTTAGATAGATAGCTGTATCAGTTGTGTGGATCAAATGATAGTGTGAATGTTCTCAAACAGTTAATCAAAACTTTAGCAAAAGGGTATGAATGTCTTCCTGAGTCAGACAGACCCTAACATGTACACATCTCAAAGTACCAAACCTGACCAATTAAGTAAGAGAAGTTTGAAGAGAGAAAGCCTTGAGATGGCTTTAGTCCACATTCCTTCCAAGTAACTGTGGATGCCCAGATTGTGCTGGTGAGCATATCATAAGTGACTAGTAATGAGAATGTTTTTATTGTGATTCATCTGTATAGTTAATTGCTATATTCTGCTAAGTGTAACTTGCGTTTGTATTGTGATTTCAGTACATTGCTCTATCACTCTGCTGAATCAAAATCTGCACAATGTCAAATACCCTCAAATAAGTAAATCTGGTATTCAACACTAAACCCTCTACATGTGGAGTAACTGAAGAACCCGGTCATCAAGTTTTGTGGTCTGATAAAAATGTATCAGAATTCCAGACTTTTTCTATCCTGAGCCCTAACCATAAATCCACCAAAGCAAAGAACTCTGTTCCTTCATGGCTTTCCCTTAAAATATCAGTTCATGCTTTTCAGCAATGCTCATTTCTGGTGAAAAAAAAATAGAACAAAACAAACCAGCTCTATTTTCCATCATGCCATAGTTGTGCTCTTACTTTTCCTTAAAAAAAAACACGTGAACAGTAGTCAAGCAAGTGTCATGCAATGTCTATTAAAGTTTTTCTACTTTTCTCCCCAAAATATTCTGCTTTAAAAATTTTAAATCTTCACAGGTGCTTAACAATTCTGCTGGGAAGACTCAGGATAGCTGCAGACACAAAAAAGGAACCTAAGCATATTAACCTGATAGTGATAAACTACAAACACATGCTGTAAAGTCCTCTGTCAGCTCATGTACAACTTTTGAGGAACATACATTCAAAAAAAATGTATAGGTGTGAAATAAACTGTCTTTTCTAACTACAGCTATTAGAAAATGAATGTTGATAAACATCAACACTTGGATGTAAGTCTGAACAGTATGGCTGTAATGAGATTATTTTGGTTTTAAATGTAGATTATAAATCTTAAAAGCTATTTTTAAAAATACAGCTTCACAAATGTACAAAACATCATCCTCATACAACTTTCATTATCTTTGATTGACAAATATTGAGAATGCAATGGTGGCTTCCTCATGTCTATGTCTTTAAGTAAAATAATTTCACTTCACTACATGTTTTAGGATATGACATTCAAGACAAGTAATCCATGGGTAGGGGTGTCCAAACCACCCTCACCAGTCCTGTAGTTGTCCTCTGAAGTTAAAGGATACTCCTGTACAACAAATGAAGAAATGTGTACTCTTAATCCCAGCACTGCTTTATTAAAATATTACAGCGATACATGGTGAAAATCCATCTGTCTCAGCCTCAAACAACATGATGGATTACACTGTTAACAAGTAGCATAGCAAAAGCCATGACTGACATCAGCTTGAATTTGAGTGACTACTTCTAAACAAACATTTTTCAGTATGTGTCTGGTCACTATGAAATTCATTATAGGCCTCCAGACATCCGTCACTGAAAGTAGAGGAAATCGGGCCATTCTTAGCTTGCATGCAGTGCAGATGTTTGTGTGATTGCTAGTGCAGCACTGTTGCAGGCTCACATCTGTGCTGAAACCTTCAATACACACTCTTCACTTTTGATGACAGATACTGAGCTAGCTTCCTACTGAGAGAAGCATAATAATCTAAAATAGCTACAACTCAACAGTATCAGGAAGGATCTTCTGAGCCTGAAGATCTTGAGAGACAGAAGTCCTTCTCATGTATATGAATTCCCACTACTTCAACCCAGGTGCCTCCTGGAGTCTGCCTCCAAAATGTTTATCTGATTAAAGACTTCACTGCTCCCTGAACTGTCATTTTGCAGTTTGCCTGTGGTATAGGACGGGTTTAACTTTCACATGTCCAGAGACAGCACATTCAGCACCAGTTTTTTGTCATTCCCTTAATATTGGCTAAACTTGTAAAAATTAAAAAAAAACCCCACACAACAGAAAACACCAAACCAACCAAACAAAAAAATCCCCAGAGTGGCAAAAGGTAAGCATGACTACAGTCAAAAATTCATTTCATTAATAGAGATTTAGAACATCTTTGTCTCAAGTCTTTCATATAAAAGCATGATGTTGAAAGGAAAAATGAACTCCAACTGCTCAAGGCACTCATAAAAGATAAAATCAGTAGATTACAGCCTGTAGCTGTTTGGCAGGAATCCCTTGACAATCTCCCTTCCAGTCCACTTTAGTCTTAGTCATTGACCAATATGGATATATGTGTTAAAAAATAGTTTACTAAAGAAACTAGTACAGAAAAGGAGAGAAAACCACAAATTCTAGTAGCTGCCTTCTTTTAATCTAGATAAAAACATTCAGGTGTTTTGCATATGGACATTTCTCCATTAATACTGGTGAATTTCTTTTGCAGCAGTAAAAAAGAACTTCCCATTTCATGGATACAAATTTCAAAACCTTACATTAGTTCCTGTTGCATTTGTTTCAAGACTTCTGAAGTTGCCCCATCTCTGGTAGAAATTTAAATCTGCTGTACTTCCTCCGATAATTAAATATGAACTTTAAATTTAGAGTCCCCATTACTGTGTGCTATTTGTTAATTAATATCTCCACATATTGCTACAAAAGATGCAGGAGATAATACTTAAGATACACCATTGTTTACAATTGTTGTGCAAGTTCCTTGTATTAAATAATGCATTTAGTTTAAATTAAGTCTTCCTGTTTATGAGCAGATGCAAGTGGTTCTACGTTTATACTTCAAAATAATGTATTGACTGCAAAGATAATTCTTTATCATGCCATGAGCAGTTGCTGTGGGTATTTAAATTCAAATTGTTTCAGACAGGCTCATATCACATAGTATACTATTATTGGCTAATTAGATTACCTCTCTCCTACCTATAAAACTGAAACATGCATTTGGATTACAACTGGAATCTGATTTCCCAAAACAAATGGTTACATTTACAAAAACAAAACTTGCCTGGTATGAGTACTCTGTAAAACAAACTCTAGAATCACTGTTTCCAAGCTTCCAAGCAGTGAGATTTTCCCTCTAATATTTGTGATGCAAAACAAAAGTGACATTGGCATCAGTCACATTAATTGTTGCCTAGCCTGCTTGTATTTACATGCTTTGGATTATTAAAAAAACCCAACAACTAATCATTTAATCAATAAGCATTCACCAACTGAATGCTACAAATCTGTAACATTTGAAACACCCAGTAGCTCTTCTGTAACACTGCCACATAATCAAATGCAAATAAGAGTAACAACAGATCAAATCTGTGGGTCCTGAATGCAAGGGAAAACTTCCTGTAGTGTCTCCAGATTGCCAGATGTTCTGCCAGATGAGGTCTGACAAGTTGAGGACAGGGAAAGGTTCCAGCGTCAAAGGACTTCCCAGAGCAGCCCAGCCAGCAGCTCTTTCCTCTCTGCAAGACTGAAAATTAACCTCTTGGATGTTAAGTGAAAAAAATAAGGCTGCTGGCAACACCTCAAAGATGGAAGGTACTGCTTTTCCTTGGTCTGAAGCTTTACACTACTGAAAGGAAGCTAAATCCTCCTGAGCTGCCATGCTAGCTTATGCCTTGCATAGAGGCTTCTTAACTTCTCCATCTGGATTGATCTTCTCCTGATTAAAAACTATTATTCCTCAAGAGGCACTTTATCTATGTGACATGTAAGTATTAAGCTGTGGATTTCATTAATAGAGAATTGGGAAAACTTTGAAAGGAATTCTCTTTCAGACAGAAAAGCTCTGAGCATTTGGAAAGTCTTTGTGCAGGGAAGCCTGCACTAGGAAGAACTAGAAGGGGACTGACTAAACTGAAAGAAAAAAAAACACTAATTTTTGCTTAACAATGTACTAAAT